ATATAATTAAAAAGATATACATATATTATATTTTATTTTCAATTATTAATATGACAAAATGATTTATATGAATATTTAAATTATAATTTTAATAAAATATTATTTTTTACCAATAAATATTATTTTTTTAGGAAAATGAACTTAAAATAAAAAAATTTTAAATATTAAAATAATATTCTTATATACATTGTAATAAATTTTTAAATTATATTTTTATTTTTTAAATGAAAATTATTAAGTATATAATTTATTTATAAATATGTATTATATTATTTTATGTTAAATATCTTTTACTTTTTTCTTCTCCATATTTTTCTCAAAAATTGATAAATTAAATGATTAAATTTTTATCTTCTCTCAAAATAGCTAAATATTTCCCCCTCTTTTAATAAAAATATATTTTATAGATAATTTTTCAATATCTTAAAAAATTATTTTAATAAAAAATTAATTTTAACCACATAAATTTTGTTGATAGTCATTTTGAAAAATTTTGAAAATGAATACTAATAACTTTTGCAATATATGATAATTACAAGAATCTCTGTGTGATCAATCTAGTTAACATCTAATCATCTTCAAACTTATAGAAAGGTGGATTTGAGTAGTTATTCATATTATTCTTAGTAATAATTAGTTATAAAATGTTATTATAGCAATGAAAACCTAAATATACTAGGAGGAATTATATGAAATCCTTGTCCAAAAGTCATTAGAGCTCAGTAGAAGAAGTAAATACCATATGTATATCAAGCTATAAGCATAAAGTGCGTAATTTACTAAGTAGTCTATAATATCCAAGTTACGTAAAACCGGACTAGTCATTAAACTGGTCATGGCACTGGGTCACAGGTTAGTGGTTCAATCGGGGTTTAATCGGTGGTAAATCGATCATGATTAAAATAATACAATTTAAATAAAAAGATATTAATTATAAAAACATTCAACCAAATCCAACCACTCAAAAGTCTAACAATAATAAAATACTATATTTTTGGGCTTAACATGCTCTACCTCTAATTTTTCATTTTTTGACTTCAATTTTACTTTTTTTTATTATCTTATTTCCGAACTCAGAGCTTTGAAAAATTAAAAATCAAAAAAATCAAAAACGACGTCATTTTGGGGGGGAGTTTGAAAAATAATAACTCGATTAACCCAGTCAACCCACTGGGTTATCTGGATTATACTGGGTTGACTGGGTTACACTGGTTCGCTCCTCATCAAGTTAAGAGTAAACCTAGACCAGACAAGGGACTGGGTCACCGGTTTTCGGGTTGACCCGACTGGTCCAATCCGGTTTTCAATACCATGATAATATCATTAGTATCTCACGATGTTTGTACAACTTTAACTTCCTAATGCCATTTATATATTTGATTGTAAGTAATAATTTATGTATAACTTAACCTAATTATAATTGAAGTAATAACCCATTAAGATTTAAATTTATCATATTAAAAAACTAGCTTAATAACATAATTCTTAAAAAAATATGAACTATGTATGTCTAAAAAATGATTATGAATAATATAAAATTAAAAAAATTTAATAATTAAACTTAGCACACTTTGACTATTATTTTTTTTTATTTCACATTCCTATATATAATTTATTTCTAATTCTATACATAAAATAAGAAATTTAATTTTATAAATATATTTTGAATAATTTTATGTAATTATTTTTTTAATTTTTAAATTATTTTTTATAAAAATATGTCACCGCTAAAAGTAAATTATATTAATTATTTTTTAATTTTTAAATTATTTTCTATAAAAATACTTTTGGTGGCGACAAATGTCGTCATCAAAAGTAAATTATATTAATTATTTTTAATTTTTAATTTATTTTTTATCAAAATACTTTTGGTGGCGATAAAATGTCATCACCAAAAGTGAACTTTTAGTGGCGACAAATTCAAGTCGTCGCCAAAAGTGACTTTTGGCGGCAATTTTGATTTGTCGCTGCTAAAAATATAGTTTTGGTGGCAACTTTTAGTAACGACAAATTGTCACCACTAAAAATTCACTTTTGGCGGCGACTTTGATTTGTCGCTACTAAAAGTCCATTTTTGGCAGCGACTTTTTTAGTCGACGCTAAAAGTTATCATCAGAAGTCATATATTTTTGTAGTGATTGTTAAGAAATTAAGTAACAACTGAGTCAAAATCTAAATTAAAGTAACAAAAAAAATCATAATCCCAAATAATTATTAGGAAAGAAAAAATTTAAAAGAATTTAGACCTGTTGTATTTACAACCACTCTAGAAAATACAAGAGAGGAGTCTCCCATCTTCCACTCTCATCCTCTTCCTTTCCTCTTCGAAATTTCTAACTATGATATCAAGATTTGGATAGTTCATAATTGTTGTCTTATAAAATATTTCATTTTAATTTATTTTTACTGTATATTTTAATAATTGTCCACATTAGGTTTTTGCAATTTGAATTTCATCATTTATATTTTTTTCATAATTTAACATTTTAATATTTTAAGACCGGTTGTTGGAGAAACCAGTTTAAAATTCAATTTATATTTATAAAATTGCCACTCCCCTATTTTCTAAGCAGTTTGTGCAACAAATTGTTTAGAAAGGAAGGTTTAAATAATTAATTTTGTACTAATGACGTCAGTCAATTTAATTATTAAATACATTGATCAATATTGGAATTTCCCTAGTGAACTAGTTGCCTAAAAAATTGATACTTTTTAAGAATAACCGGTGCTCAGAAATCCTTTCCAAAAAGCACGTAATTCATTATAAATTAAGAATTAATTAAGGGCTCCTCATTTTGTGTCAATGAACCGATATATATGGAAAAATCTTGAGCCATCACAGTAAAGTTTATGAAGAAATTTCTCCACATAAATTGTTCACTGAGATATTCATGAATTGCATGCTCTTCATATAAATAAAAAAATACATAATCAACGAAAAGCTTTAAAAGTTTGATGTAATTATAAGCATGTGGACGTATGTGCTCATGGAATTTATTGTCCCTTTCTTTTACTTGTTTACTCTGCTCCTCTACTTTTGCATCCATATTCATGATATCATTCATTAAATTCATCATTTCATTACAGATATACTTATTTTATATCTAGTTTACAACGTAATAAGTCAATTCAAGCATCGTTGGGTATAGGGCAGCTCAAAAGAGTCACATGAATTTTTTGATTTTAAGATTAAACATCTAAAGTAAACACACTCCAAAAGTAGTCATGAAACTATTGAGCCAAAAGACAATGAACTATTACCACTAAAAGTTGACTTGTAATTTATGAGGTCATGGCATCAAATCTCATTGCTGAAGTGATGATTTTACTGATAGGCAATATGTACCTCTAGAAGTGCTCTTTGAACTTTAATTAAGGCATGTCCTGGCCATTATGAATTTCCAAGACCCAATTCATTTAAACTTTCTTTTATTCTTTTATTAAAGACAATGAACTACTTGATTAAAAATGTTGCCCCTTCCCCATATTCTCTAGGATTTTTTACAGACCGAATCTCAACATCAGCCTTCCAATTAAAAGCCTCATGTGCATGACTTATAAATACATGACAAATGGCTTTAAATATAAATTGCTTATGACATTGATGATAATAGAAAAACTAAAAACAAAAATAAAGTTATTTAAAATAATGATATAGAAGATTTTATTTGATTGAACTGATATAATTTTATCTGATACAGTACTGATAATATGGTGCACTAGGTCTATAAAAGAATTTCTCAAATTATGATTTCCAGTAAGAACAACTTGAAATTTCCAATTTAATTATTTATGAATTTTGTAATTTTTTTTACCAACAATATAATGAATTGTTTAAATTGACTAAATTAACAATAAGTTTTATAAATAACTTAATATTAAATAACTAAGCACCTTTGAAATTCAATGATTATTGTGTGATTGATATGATCCATGCATAACAATCAGATATGATTGAATATTTTTACCTGATCAGGGACGATAAAATCAAAACAAGATCCCAGCAGTACTGAGTAACACAGTGCAAAGAATACAAAAAACAAACAAAGGAATTATGCACGCGACATGAACACAGAAACTTTGACATTTGAGTTTCAGAACATTACCATTCAAATATTATTTCTAAATTCATTTCATAATGTAAACAATTAATGATACATTAAAGTCATGCTTTTATAACAAATAACAATCATTTTATATATAAGAAGGCTAGCTCTATACACAGCTCAGTGAAGGATAAAATCTCAACAATCTCGATTCATTTGTGATCTTTATTTTCAAGAGAATATATTCCAATGACGATAATGAAACTGCTTCGTGGGCAAATAGTTTTCCCTCCTTTTGTGTTCATAATAATAATATTCTGCCAATACTGTTTCTGGGTTGGCTTCGCGGAAGATTGTGGAGGCAAGGCAATTGCATATACCATTACAGTTGGCCAACCTGGTCAATTCAAAACAGTTCAGCAGCAGTTGATTCAATAAAAAGCAACAATGGTCACTGGGTGAAAACTCACATATATCCAGGCACATATACCTACGTTATATTTATGTTTAATCATATTGAATATTTTTTTTTTTTGTTCCTTTTATGTTGATTTTTATAACTTTTTTTTTCCATACAAGTAGTTGCGCGAGGAGGGAGACTGGTGGGAGCCATATATAGTTTTTTCATTGTATCAGGCCTGCAACCTTAATCCTTCTATTTTTGAATATGCCCAAAGAGAATGATGAGGCAGCACTAACGATATTAAAAATACTTACTTGTAACTAATGTTGTTAATCTTTGTGTTGAGATGAAATATGATTCAACATGTTAAAACATGAAACAGATCAACAAGTGAACTATGCTGTTAATTTGCTTGATCATAATTTCAGCCCAGTACAAAGTTACAGGTAAAAATACATAACACCATTAGTGTCATTTCATTATCTTGTTAGACATACTCAAAATTAGAGGGACTAATAATATAAAGTTGTGAATGGGATAAATTAGAGGGAATGGAAAATTCAGATATGTATAGGCACATACAGGTACGTCTCACATATGCTTAATCATATTTATTGTTTGTTTCTTTTAAGTTGGTTTCTATAACCTTTTTTCGTACAACTAGTCGCACAAGAAGTGGAACTGGCGGTTGCCTTAATCTCTCCAAAATTTGCAATTTTTTAATAGGGAAAACGTAACTATTTGTTATATATGCAGTTTTTCTTCATTGTTTCAAGTATCTCTACTATTTCATCCTCTCGGCAACATCAGTATCTCTATTTTTGAATATGCCCAGAAGAATGATGAGATAACACTAATGATATTAATTATGTTGACTAGTGCTATTAATTTTTGTGCTAAGGTGAAATTATATATGATTTAACAACTTGAAATAGGAAACAACAACACGGGTGAACAACACTACTATTAATCTGCTGAATCATAACTTTACCTCAGTACATATTAATGACTTTAGTCACATATCCTTTTTCAAAAATAGAGAGACTAATTTACAAACAGGATAAATTAGAGGACCTGAAACGACGAATAAAAAATAAAAACTTATATATACCAAAACATGTGAAAATTATAGCTAGGAATTCATAGTCATGCTTTTTCTTTTTAATGTCATATAAATGTTGTACATTTTTGCCTCCCAAATTTATGAAAACTTTGATATATATATATATATATATATATATATATTATAATTAATTTTGTTGTGTGCAGGAGAAACTGCACATTCCAGAAGATAAAGCATGCATCATTTTGGAAGGGGAAGGCAGAGAAGTTACTACAATTACGTACAGTGATCACCAACAAACAGATACAACTGCAACCTTTTCTTCCTTTCCCAACAATATTGTTGCATCTGGAATCAGCTTCCAGGTTTGATAAATGCTTGAAACATTAATATGTATCGTGTTAAAGTATATATAGAGCGAAAAAATAACGGTTATGGTTATTCTCAATTTCTCTTTGTTATAAAAAAATGACGAAAACTTGATCATTTATGCAAATTTTATAATCTATGACGATATCAATATAGATTTTAGCAAACATTTTTGGGTTGTCTGTTCTTAAAAAATTAAAAGAGCGCGCGCGCGCGCGCGCGCGCGCACACTCTTTGTAATGTCTCTTGCCTTTTTCCCGATGATATTGATTGACGATCACGTCCGACGGTAAGAGCAAAATGATCTGGTCCAAACTTCATCATAATTACACAGTTTTTTAATTTTAGCATTTGTAATGTCTTTTGTTACTACCTTTTGGTTATAAAAGAGGACATTTTCTAAAATTCTTTCTTAGTCTAAAATATGAAATATCAGGTATATTTTATATATTTTTTAATTATATCTTTACTTTATTATATTTCACTCAAGTTATTAATAAATATGTTTTATTTTAGATAAATCCAATGTCATATTTATTTTCACTTAATGATAAAACCATAAAGATGTGAAAATTTTTAGAAAATAATTATGATTTTAATAAAATTTTTATGAAAAATGTAAATTAAATAACAATAACTTATATTGTGGGCCGCAATCTGCACAGAGTATTTATATATTTATTCTTATTATGATATATATGTTGGGGAAAAACAGGACATTCCGTACGTATATAACTCCATATATAAGGTATCTAGATTATAAAAAAGTAGCCCAATAAAAAATGTTATAATTGATCTAAAATTATTGTGGTTGCAGAACTCGCTTTATCTCTCAGATCAATCAGAATTGGAGCGAAACATAAATGTAAAACCAGCATTGGCTGCAATAATATATGGCGACAAATCAGCATTTTTGGATTGTGGCTTCTTGGGTTTTCAAGATGCACTTTGAGATGTCAAGGCTGTCATTACTTTAAAAATTGCTATATACAGGGTGCTGTTGATTTCATCTTTGGCAGTGGTCAGTCCGATTTTGAGGTCTATGTACTTGGAAAAATTTTTGTGTTACTCCTTCTATCTCAAGTTATAAAACACTTTAAACAAAATTTTATAGACTAATAAATTTTATTAAATACACTTAACAACCTTATTTTTTTCAAAATAAAAATATAAACTTTTAAGAATATCCTTCATTTAATAACCTTAAATATACACTTAATTGGTATTAAATAGTGATGGAGAAAGGCTAGTATTGGAATAAATTTACTTAATAAAATATTAATCTTCTCAAAATATCTTATATTGTAGGATGGCAAATCTCCTAAAAAAGTGTCTTATAATTTGAGACTAAGGGAGTACTATTTCTAAATCATTTTGTATAATGTATAAAGCATTTGATGTGCTTTTATTTCAATAGTGGCTTTTGGAATGGATGGTGTTGAGAAATTGTGATAGGAAAATAGATTATTAAGATAAATGAACAAGGTTGAATTAGAATAATTCATTTGGTGGTTTGTGCCTAAATTATAGGTCCAAAAGCATTTGGGATCTTAGACTCATTTTTTATAAAATATTTCCCTTTAATTTTTGCAAACAATGCAATATTACACTTGCTGCTTACAAATGTTAACCTTGACTACTAGATGGTAAAAAATTTTGAAAAAAAAAAACATAAAAAATTAAATGTACCTTTTTTTTTGTAATTTTTTAGATCCTTATCTGTAATTCTAATTTTGTGTCTCTTTTTGCAATTTTTTATTTTTTTATAATTTTATGATCAATTAATAGTTAAAGTTAACAATAAGGGTGATATTGCACTATTTTTAAAAGTTGAAGCGAAAGATTGCACTCAAAAAATCTTAAGATCCCATATGTTCCTAGACCTATAATATAAAGAGATGGTGAAATTGTCCTTTAACCCTAATTCAATATATTTAATCAAGCATGCTTTTAAGAATTAATATAAACTAATTTTAACTAGTTTTCTTGATTTTGTGTGGATCATTTATAGACTGCATCTAAAAAGCTTGTCATTTAAATAATGTTCGTTTAATTTCCAGTTCAACGATATATAGCAATGACTGAAGATTGGCTTTTATGGGCACAGAATTGTTACATGAACGTGACATTAACCACGTCGAAGGCCAAAGCTCCTTTATGGTTATATAACAGCACAGGGTCGAAGTTCAGCAGAGGAGACAAGTGGTTTTGTATTTAAAGGAGAAAAGTTGTGGGAATCGGTCCGGTTTTTTGGGGCAGAGCTTATGGCCCTTATTCCAGAGTCATATTTTATGAAAAGTTTCTGGATTCTGTGGCATCTTCTCAAGGATGGGATGCTTGGAATTACATAAATCATGTGTTAGTATACTTTTTAACTCTTTTTCACAAATTTTAATTTTATAAAGCTAATATTAAAAGGAAGAATGACAGTGAGGTTCCAAAATATTAAATTAATGATAGTTAGATCCCTAATAATTTTTGTTGGGAAAATAAGTTCAAAATATTGATCTAAATAATTTCAAATTAAATGTAACTTTTAATAGATTATAACAGGGATTTATATTTATAACCATTTGTTTCAATAATATTCACAAATCATTTTTTAGAAAATTTTTTTGAGGACCTAACTATCATTAATTCAACCTTTTGAGATTTTACTGTCTTTCTCCCATACTAAAATTAATTACTACTACAAAATACATTTTTTATAGGGAGAATTAAGTTAAAGTCCTGACTAATGTGTTATCAATAGCCTTAATTTAGTTGTTAATAGATCTTATAATAATTAATTTCTTTATGTGGGACCTAATGTATTTTTTTTTTTTTATACTAGCCTTCTGCATCGGTTAAAAGATAGTTAAGTCATGTTGAAATTTTTAATTTGACCTATGGCAATTTTGTAAATACGTTATCACTGTATTGCTTTTTAGTTAGGTTAATTCTAGCTACATTGGTTTTTTAACTATTGTAGAATGTCAAGTTAGGTTAATTCTAGCTACATGGTTTTTTAACTATTGTAGAATGTCAATTTCTAGATGCGTTGATTAATCGGTGTAGAAAGTCAAGATTTTTTTACACTTGTTAATTCTACACTGCTTGTAGGACCACATAGAAACTATTTTTAACAGGGATAGAATGCTTGTCTTGTAGCATATATACACTACAAAAAAAAAAAAGACTTTCAGCGGTGACTTTCAGTGATGACAGTAAAAGTTGCCATTGAAAGTGTGACTTTCTGCAGTAATATTTAATGTCTCCATTAAAATAGTGACTTTCTATGGTGACAAGATTTAGTCACCGTTGATTGTCAGATTTTCAATGACGACAAGTGCATTTCACCGTAAAAAGTCATACTTTCAACAACAGTTTTTACTGTCGCCACTGAAAGTTGAGAATTAGTAGTGACTTTTTAATGTTATCACTAGTTGTTAACATATTTTAAAATATATTATAATTTTTTTTTAAAAAAACTTATGTTGTAAGCTTCAACGGCGACATACAAGTTGCCGCTGAAAGTTGAGAATCAACAGTGACTTTTTAGTGTCGTCGTTGATTGTCAATATATTTTAAAATATATTATAATTTTTTTAAAAAAACTTATATTGTAAGTTTGAGTGGTGACATACAAGTCGCTGTCACAATTGAAAGTTGAGAATCAATGATAAATTTTTAATGTCACTGCTGATTGTCAATATATTTTAAAATATGTTATAATTTTTTACAAAAATTCATATTGTAAGTTTCAGCGGCAACATACAAGTCACCACTAAAAGTTGATAATCAGTGACAACTTTTTAGTGTCACCACTGATTGTCAACATATTTTAAAATATGTTATAATTTTTTTAAAAAAAACTTATGTTATAAGCTTTAGCGGTGAGTTTTACTGTTGCTGCTAAAAGTTGAGAATCAGCGGCGACTTTTTAGTATCGCCGTTGAAAATGAAGCTTTTAGAGGTGACTTTGAATGTTGCCGCTGAAAGTTTGATTTTGTATTATCATTATAATTTTTTATTTTTATTTATCTAATATTTAACATTTTAAGACATTAATTTTTTTGTATTATTGTAATTTTATAATGAATATATAAAATAATATAATAATTTTTTATTTAATATATTCTATGGTTAAATTATAACTTTAAGATAATGTTAAGGTATTATTTAATGCTAATGGGCTAAAGTAAAGAATTAAGCCAAACTATATTATTTTACGTGTATGTTTGTATTAAAAAATCTACAACTAAGGTTAAGATTCAACCGAAGTTAACAAACTAAGGTTAAAAGAAAAGTCAATAAATGTAATATGATTTATGTTTGAATATTTTTTTAGAAGTCAGCTAGATAAACTGAAATTTATTTAGATAATTTTATTCAAAAGCCAATTGAGATGTTTAATGGCTAAAATAAGTATGAAATTTTTAATATATATTTTTTGACTAATTAATAACTGAAACAAATTAAAGTTAAAATTATAACTAATAAGTGAAAAATCTTAAATATTCAAGATAGAAGAGAAGAGAGAGAAAGCATAAGTTATCGGATCAGCGTAGAAGTCAATAACACTACTTGTTTATAATAATTAAACATGTGATACTTAAATTTATTCATTCATAGAATGATATTTCATCTAATCTATTTTTTTAATTTAAATTCTACATTTAATACTAGTAATTTTAAAGCTTGATTTTAAAAAAATAAATAATTATAAACTAATGTATAATCATTAGTATCTTTACTATTTATTCTTAAATATTTTTTATATTATAATTATAAATATGAATATTAAAATAAATAATATAACAATCTCAAGAAGTAAAAAACATTAAAATAAATAATATAAATGATATTGTATCAATTATATTTATGGTTTACTTTAAACAAAATAAATAATATAATTTGAATTTTTATAAATTAAAAGAATTAAATTGATGTATTTAAGGCTAGTAATGATATTTTATAATATTTAATATTTAATACATGTGTGTGTTTTTATAGTTTAATAATATGTGTATATATAGATTTAATTATGCAATAATAGACTACAAGTTTATTCCAGCTCAGTGGCAAAATGGTTGGACATAAAAAGAGGAGGTCATGAGTTCAAATCTTGGAGGAGACAACTTTCAAAATGAAAATATAAATTGATGATATGATTACACATGGCACGTGGAGAAAGCAGCACATGGAGAGTGACAAGGTGCCACGTGGAGGATGACATAGTGCCACATGGTGTAAGGTGGGGGCCTATATGGAGGGTAACATGGCACCATGTGGTGTGAGGTGGGACGCCACGTGGACGGTGACATAGTGCCGTGTGTGTAAGTGAACCAACATTACTTTTCAATGGCGACTAATTGGTAGCTTCTACAGTGACAAATGTCACCACTGATACTTAACATTCAGTGGAGACAAAATAGTCGTGTTGATGTGTGGTTTTTGCAGTGACCAAATGTCACCGTTAATTTTCAACTTTCAGCGGTGACCATCGTTTGGCTATGACAAATTTTCTTTTCTGCGGTGACATTTGTCGCCGCCAATTCTCAACTTTTAACGATGACTTTTATTGTCACCGTAGATTGAATCAGTGACAAGAGCTCTCGCGGCGACATTGTGGCGACAAATGTTGTTGCTGAAAGTTAATTTTTTTTGTAATGATAACAACACATGTTTGGAGAATTTAATGTCCCCTCTATATGATATCCAACTTATATAACTTTAGTTTTTTTTTATTTCTTGCTTCTAGATAAAACGAAACTCATTTTGGTATATTACAGTTATGAAATGGTGTAGTTTTTTTTGTATTTTTTATTATTTTTAAAGAAAAAGAATAGAACTACGTACACAAGAAATCTAATTATGGTATCTTGAAAAATAAAAATGTCATGCTTCATGACTACAAGATATGGTAATATTTCTTATTTTATGTAGAAACTAATCAGCATGAGAAGGTAA